CTTTCAGGCTCTTTACCACAATGTCATCGACATAAACCTCCAGGTTCCTGCCGATCTGAGTGCAGAAGATGATGGTCACCATTTTTTGGTAACTGGCACTTGCATTCTTTAAGCCGAAGGGCATCATGACATAGCAATAAATTTCATCACCTGCATAGAACAAGGTTTTCTCTTCATCCTCCGAAGCCATTGGCACTTGATGCTAACCAAAATATGCATCCAAGAGACTCAATCTCTCATTTCCAGAAGCTGCTTTAACCAATTGGTCAATGCTTGGCATTGGATAACAGTCTTTAGGATAAGCTTGGTTGAGATTTGTGTAATCGATGCACATTCGTCATTTATCATTTGCCTTCTTGACCAACATTGGGTTAGCCACCCATTCACAGTAATCAACTCTTCTAATGAAACTAGCTTGCAGAAGTTTTTCTACTTCTTCTTTTATAACCTGAAGCCTCTCCCCCCCAAAGAGATGTCGCTTCTGAGTTACTGGTTTCTTCAATGGATTGGTGCTGATCTTGTGTTGAGATACTGAGGTTGGAATTCCTAGCATGTCTGCTGAGGTCCAAGTGAAGACATCTTTGTTAGCTTGGAGGAAAGCTATTAGCTCTGCTCTTTCCTTTGGACTTAACCGAGTTCCAATTTGTGTCTTCCTGTTTTGATCTCTGTCATCAATTTGTACTTCCTCTACATCCTCAACTCAGGTAGCTCTAGTTTCATCCTTTGGTCGGTTGTCTACTATCTCAACTCCCATTACCTGCTGATTATCATTAACTTGTTGGGGAATGATTTCTGGTGTCTGATCTTTGCCTTTCTGAGGCCTTGTAACCGAGGTAATATAGCAATGTCTAGCTACCTCCTGGTTACCTTGTAGTGTTGCTATCCCCATAGGGGTTGGGAACTTCATGCAAAGATGAGATTGAGAGACCACAGCTCAGATCTCGGTTAATGTGGGTTGTCTGATAACAACATTGAAAGAGGATGCCATTTTAACAACTAGAAACCGGACTGAAGGGGTAACATAAGTTAAACCGCTCCCAAAAGCAACGTTGAGAGTAAAAACTCCTTCTCCCTAAACATGTTGGTTATTGAAGCCATAGATGGAACCATCGTACCTCTGCAACAAAGTTGAATCCAGCTCGAGACTCTCAAAACAGTGAAAATACATAATGTCTGGTGTACTCCCTGTGTCAATAAGGACACGTTGTACCTCACAGTTGTTAATCATAACGGAGGTGACCAGAGGATCATTATGAGGTGTGACAACTATATCAAAGTCAGCAGATGTGAAAGTGATGGGTTGATTCTTCCAGTCAGCGTTGTCAAACTTTCATTTCTGAGCTCGGTTTTGGTGCTTCATCTCCCTGACATATAGTTTTTGTTGTTTGGAGCTCAAACCTCCTACTTCCAAGCCTCTCGTAATTATATGTATAATTCTGGTTGGTGGTGGGAGTGCAGGTGGGAGTGCAGGTGGGGCTTGTTGGTATCCCATGCCTTGCCTGTTCTTGCATTACGAGATCCCTGTGGTTGTGGCCCCTGTTCTTTAACAAACTTCGGTTGCTCTATTCTCTAGATGTATTCATTTAGCATTCCCTTCTGAACTAGACTTTCCAACTCAAACCTCAAACTATTACATTGCTCCGCTATATGACCATGATCTTGATGAAAATCATAGTATCTAATATGATCAGGTGTAGTAGCAGAACTTTTTATCGGCCCTGGTTGCCTCAAATCCATCTTATTCTTGGTTTGCATGAATATCTATGACCTCAGCAGATTGAAAGGAGTCCATGTAACTAGTGTTTTATTGGTGATTTGCTGGGGGGGTACTGAGTTCGGCTTTCCTAATCTTGATGTGGAGGTCAACATCATACCTTAGCTCTATACTGTCTTCATCCGCTTTTTGCTCTGATCTTCATCTCACCAATCTAGATTTGGATTTTTGGGAAGAACTGGCTTCTATGATAGGGCATATTCCTCAGCAGTTATAAATTTCAAAGATCTGTCATTAGCTCATTGAAAGTGGTAGCAGGATGCTTAATTAAGCTATCTTTAAATCTCTCGTGTTGGAGCCATTGAATTATAGCCGCAATTCCTACGGCTTGGTTGAATGAGCTGACTTTGAGAACTACATCATTGAACCTGCTCATGTAGTTCTTCAAAGATTCTCCGTCCCTCTATTTGACTCGCATAAGTTCAGAAGTGGTTTTCCGAATCAACCTCATGCTAGAAAACTTTGTGGCAAAAGCAAACGCCATTTCTAAATAGGAACTGATAGATCTCGAGGGCAAACTATAATACCAGGTTCGAGCATTACCACGGAGAGTGGAGGAAAAGATTTTGCACCTCAAGGCATCAGAAGCATTCTTAGCTTGCATGCAGGAGTAGGAGGCATGGAGGTGATCATCTAGATCCTTCGTCCCATCATATGTCTCGAGCTGAGGTATTTTGAAACCGATGGGATAAGGCTCCAATGTGATGTTAGTGTTAAGAGGATGAGGTATGGAATCAGTATTATGGTGTGGAGGTGGGGCTCCTTGGTGCTCGGCTACCAGTTTTTCTAAGCTATCCAGACATCGTGTGACATCATCAGGTAGAGGTTATTGAACTGGGGTTACATGAGACTGACCCTGAGACTCACTGAGAGTAGGAGCATGCTGAGCTAGTTGAGGGTCTTGCTATTGAACAAGGGGTTGTTTAGTAGGGTTGAGTAGATTGATGAAGGGATCACCAAGATTATTCCGAGCTAAGAGCTGAGCCAAAACTAACTGAAAGACACCGAACTGCTATTGCATGGCAGCAAGCTGAGCTGTAACTACATCTTGATTAGCAATGGAAGCCGAGTTGTGGGTTGAGTTGTGAGGTTGGTTTTCATCTCCTCCTTCTGCATGTTCAACAGAAGGGAATAGATTTGGGACCTGAGGTGGGAGGTGAGGTGGAAGGTTGTTGGGGAGTTGACCTTGACCTTGTCCAAGAGGTTGTGCCTAATTTTCAGCTCGGACAGATCGAGTGTTGACCATGATGAGAAAGCAATAAAAGAGCTTTTAGTTCGGATTCCCATAGATGGCACCAATGTAATTGCACCAAACCAAAAGTCCTTCTTCAGTCCGCATCTTCACTCCGGATGTACCTACAAAGCCCCAAGGTGGGTCCTCGGGGTAGACACTCCGATGTTTAAGTCAACAATAATCGGATCTACCTCTAGAATAATGGGAAAAGGAGTTTTAGGTTTGTTTCAATTACCTTTTTGAGGTGACCCCTAGGGGGTATTTATAGGCCTTAGTAAGGTGTTCATGTGGCTTGCTTAACAAGATAATCGGAGAGTGACGTGTCCCTTCAGGTGATTATTTCGGGACCGAAAAATTATGTAAATTAGGTGTGGACATGTTCACTGTATCTATTATGCAGCCATTTAACCGGGAAGTACTCGATTTAACTTCATTTCGATTATAAAGAAACTGTAGCAGTGCGTCTGAGATTAAGGATTTCGTTGAATTTTAATATTTTAATTATTACATCTAAAAAAAGTATTGTAGACATTATAAAAATTATTAATATACTTATAATAAATGCTATTAAAATATTTTTATATTAAATTATAAATTACACCTTTACTTAACAATAAAAAAATCTAATATACATACTATAACGAAATTTTCCCTTACTCATTTGTTCAAAGATGAATGACTTTAGTGGCAAAAATCACTGGTTTTCCCCTTCGCTCCTCAACTTACTAAATTTGAAACTAGTATTCCTTGCACTATAAATGGGTAACTTTAAGCCCATGACCTAAATGGGTTTGAGGAATTATCACCAAATTAGGCAAATTTCACGTGCCTCACAGGCTCATTACCACTCCGTCTAAAGTCGTCATGTCATGCAACATGTTCAATTTTTTACACTTTGTTTCCTCGTTGAATTGTAAAAAAATAGAACTTAAAAACCTTAAAATCTAAACCTATGAAATCACAAGTTTGCCTCCAGCTTTTTCATCCATTCTTCTCCCCTGACTTTCCTGAATCTCTCTTCCCCCTTCCTCGTTCTTCTCTCCTCTTTCTTCGTTCTCCCTCATCCCCATCTCCTATTGGCTTCTTTCAAGAACTTCTCTGAAGAACTTCAACATTTCTTGCACTTTTTGGGCATTTAATCCATAAAAATCATTCCCAAAACAAGAAATTCAACAATAATTTGTTCTAAATCATTTCACTTTCAAAGCAATTCATTCTTAAGTCAGTCCACTTCGAACTAAAAAATCAACAAAAAAAATATAGCAAAAAATAAAAAATCAAAATCTGGGTTTTCAGATCTTGGGACTCGTTCTTATACTTCTTTTCCCTCTTATCCTCCTTCCTTTCTCTTCGCTCTTTTCCTACCCTTTCTCCTTCATCAGCATCACCTATAATTGTAGCTAAACTGAGAGCCAAGGTCTAGATCGGGACTTTTGGCTCATCGTTCGGCGAGCTTTGGTCCCAATCAGAACTTTAGGTTGCCAATGACTGTCCCCTGATCACCACTTTGGCGAATGAAATCTTAGACTCATATCTGGATCTTTCTTCTTTTTTCTTTTTTTTTTCTTTTGAAATTTTGCTTTGAACCCGATGCAAGTGAGAGGAACTGATGAAGAGTAGAAAATCAAACAAAGACACATTATTCACAACAATTCACAGACTTTCACAAACTTTGGTACCTCATTGAGAACCCTATAACAAGTAAACTGCGGGCATTCGTGTAGCAATATAAGCCACTGTCTGGTCATCACTATACTTAAAAATTTAAACCATATATATAAGAGCTCTCGATCTTCCACCTCTTTGACCGTTCAAAAGACTTCAAAGGGTCCTCAAGAAGCTCCTTGGATGTGGATGAGGGGAGGTTCAGATGGACATCCTTGATCCCGCGAAAAGATTGTGGTAAAGTCAGCACCTTTCTCCTCATATAAGGGTCCGCTTCCTCTACAATAATTCAATACCCATTTGATCAAAAAGAAAAAATGTAAGTTGCAAAACGAAAACAAGTATGCATTAACTCACCTCCAGTCTCCGAGCATGCTCCTTGCAAAACGTTGGCGAGTTTTGAGAGGGCATATGTGATAACCGGAATGCATCTTAAATTTTGGTTGTATTTAACTAGAAAAAAAAAATGGAGTTTTAAGGATGTAATTGAATACTGAGGGAGTGAGATTAACTTGGAAGGGGATTTAATTTAGTGGCTAAATTAACTAGATTATGCATGATGAGGGACTATATATCAATTTTGAAAATATTAGAGGAGGCAGCCAAATTTTTATGATTATTTTTAAGGTTGTGCTATTGGGACAACTTTTTTATCTTATCTTTTTATAAAACTTTCACATGTCATTAAATGTGTGAATGCATTCAATATCATTGGTTTCACATAAATTAAAAAAATTAATTATTTTAATGACATATCAAGTTATATAAATATTATTTTCCTTATTTTTATTAGGGTTGGGTACGGTACACTATGGTAACTGTACTGCATTAATTTTCTAGCAACCATTTATTTCGATAATGAAACTTTGTTGCGATACCATTAGGCAGGTTGGGTTGGGTTAGGTTAGGGTCGGGTTAGAACGGGTAACGGGTCAAAATGGATTGGGTTAAAATGGGTTACGGGTCAATGAAAGCAGATCTTAACCCGTCCATTATGGGTCACGGGTCAATCCGTTGATTAACCCAATTAAATTTTTTTTCTTTTTTTTTTCTCTATATATAATTTGTACCTATTATCATTTAAAAAAAATTATTCAAAAGATTTCAAAAATAAATTCAACATTTTACAAAAAGAATTTTTTTTCCCATTAATTTAATGTGTATGTATTTATAATTCTTTAGAATTATCTTCTCCACTTTCCTTTAAAGAACAACGTTAATCAAATTTAAGAATACTACGCACTTATAAATCTCAATAGCAAAAAAAAAACAGTAGTAGCATGACAACCAAAAAACACAAACCCCATTGGAACATATTTGTTCTGGTCGATGCTTTCAAAGAATCAATCAATTGAATGCATCAAAGCAAAGGACAAGATCAAGTAGAATTTTTACTTGGAATGGAGAGAAAACTAAAAAATATAAATAAGTAAACAACTTATCTTGAAGGCTTTACAGAGAAGAGTTGGTGACAAAGAGAGGACTTATCAAACTCGAAGGAGAAAGAAAGAAAGGGCTAAGTGGACGCGATGGTGACTTGGTGAGACTAAAATCTAAGTCTGAGATAATGTTAAAGACTAAAGAGAAAAGGTGGAGTCGAAACTTGAAAGTCGAAGGTCGTATGTATTATGGAGGTTAAAGAATATGAGAAGTTTAAAAATATGAGAAGAGTTTGAACTTTAAAAAGTTAGAGTCTTAGAGAGTATTAGGCAAAGCAAAAATAGGAAAGGTAAAAAGGTGAGTCATAAGTGGAGTTGAATTATTATTACTTCTAGAAGATGATGAGTTAAGAGAATCAATTAGCTAATTAGAGAAAATTAGTCAATTATTAGAGATTTAAGTGGGATTGAGAATTGAAAAACAAAATAAATAAATAATAAATTAAAAATTTTTAAATTTTTAGATGGATAAACGGGTTAAACCCATCAACCCAGTAGGTCAATCCGTTATTGACTCGTGACCCATCAGGTTTTCTTAATGGGTCATTGACGAGTCACGGATCATAAATATATGACCTTAACCCGTTTTAAACGAACAAGTAATAGGCGAGTAATAAATGGGTTAACAGGTTGGGTAAAAATTTACCAGATGCCATATCATTTGTGTCATTTTTGGCAATCGGTCCCTTAAAAAAAAAAAAATCGGTAATCCCCGTTCCATGCCAATACCGTCCCAAAATTACCAAACCATGAATTTCCATTCTAGTCTTTTAATAATTTCTCAATCTCATTCCATTGTCTTTTATCAGGAAATCAAAACCCACGGTGAAAAATGGAAGAAGAATCTCTGCTATTTTTATCGAAAACCACTCATCAAGAATTCAAAACAACTCAAAAATTTTGAAAAACTAAAAAAATTTAGTGGTAGAGCATTATCTAAACTTGCTGTCGTGCCTTCATTTTCGTTCGTCAATGCCTTAGTTTCTGTTCACCGTCTTCGCAATCAAAAAGGCCAAATTGGTCCGAGATTTGAGGGGAAAGGGAATAGGAATGAAAACAATTGAAAAGGGAATGTATTGAGAACAGAAACTGAAACCTATTAACTCGGACATTGTACTTGGGTTTTGAATCTTTTAATTACGAGGGAAGAAAGAAAGAGAAGTTCTGTACCTTAGATTTTGGCTTTAGGTGGGTAGTAGATGTCAATTTGCAGTTAGATTGTAAAGAGAAAATCTTTTATAGCGTGTTTGGTTGCGCATTTTTCAAAAAAAAAAAAAATTTGGGTTAGTCGAACAAAAATTCAATTAACTTTATTTAGAATTTTAATTATTTAGTACATAAATTGAGATAAAATATAATCAGTTATAAAAAGAAATATGTTGTATTATAATTACACTTTTTCTAAAAAAAAAAATTTTGGATTTTTTAAGAAAGTAAATATAATCAATCATAAAAAAATCAACTATATTAATATAATTATTTTTTTTAAATAATCAATTATATTATAAATATAATCCATTACTTTTTCTATTTATAATCAATTATATTATATGTTAATTTACATGCCAATAAAGTTAATATTCTAAGTAAATTGATGGAATTTTTGCTTGACTTATTCTTAAAAAAAAAAAAAAAAAGTGACCAACCAAACAAGAGTTTAGGGTTAAATTGGTTTTATTTGAGAGGCTAAATAAAAATGGAAACATAATTTTTATCTACATACAATTAATATGAAATTAAAAAATAATGCAAAAAATTAAATAAAATATACAGTAGGCTTGGTAGGATCCCGTAAGTTCGGTAATAGTCTTCAAGGGTCATCGCTGTACCGCAGCCCAAATGCTGGGCTGCCATTTGGTAATTTCGCCGCTGATGCCGGTATCGGTACAGAAGCACAGCCGGTAAAATGCCCACCCCGCTTAGAACCCTAGCCGCACAACTAGCCTTTTTTCCTACGCGCTGATAACCCCCTCCTCCCTTTGAGTCTTTTTATTTTTTTTATATATATTTTTTATTTTAACAGCACCTCCTCCCTTGAGTCTGCAACTTTCTACCTCCTCTTTCATAACAAATTCCTACACAATTGGTAAGTTCTCTTTGAATTTCTTGTGGTTCTACTCGAAATTATACTGGGTCCTATTCTAATTTTTCTTTTCCTAACAGAATCTCTTTCCCTTGTGATTCGATGCTTCTTCTTTTGTTTTCAAAATCACTTCTCTTCTGTCCGCGAATATTGGAAAGAAAGGCTGGTTTCTGCTGTTTTCCTTGGGTAATAAGTCCGTTGGTTTTCACCCTTCATATTAGATTGAATCCTCGCTGTTTTGACCCCCCTGGGCGTGCTGCGTCTTTGTCAAGATATCTGCTTCATCTTTGCTCCATTCAAGCACCTGAAACGTTTCGTTTTCTACTTAAAATTCTGGGTTAAATAGCTGCTGTTCTTGCCTTGTTTCTTTCCATATTAGTTGTTGTTTTCATGGCCTTAAATACCTTGTAAAGGATCGGTTATCTTCTGAAAATTTTGGTGAAATTCTGCTACGTTGTAGGGTAGCCTCTGCTTTTCTTTCCATTGTACGGGCGAGGATTTTTTTCGAAACCAAGAAAGCACCGAAACACGGTTTCTCCTCCTCCTCCGGCGCAAAAGAGGATTTCCGTCGCCGAGCTAGAGTTTGATTCCCGCCAATTGTGTAGGGGAAGAGGTGAGTTCAGTTTAACGAAATGGATTTTTATTTTTTTTTTGGGCATAAGCCCATAAAATGCTGCTGAACTTACAGATCATAAGGGTTTTTACCCTAAAGTTATAAGCATGGGATTTATAACCTGAACTTAAAAGCTATAAATATTTGTACCATGAGTTGACGGAAAGTTATAAATATTTGTGCCATTGAGTTAACGGAAAGCGTTAAGTCTCCGTAAGGGCCAAGAACAAATAATAATAAGGGTAGTCCTCAAAGAACCAAAAAGGAGACAGGTAAGCCCCAGAAGGTTTTCATGGGAGATATTACCACATATACAAGAACAATAATAAATATTTGCAATCATATTCAGCAAGTAGCTGAATTGAAGAGAGATTTCTAGTAGAAATCAAAGAAAATTTCTTAGTTGTGGTTAGACAAAGAGTTTGGAATGAAAGAATAAATCCAAATGCGACTATATAATTAACAAATTATATTTGGAGAATAAAGAATTAGTAAACTAAAAGAAATTGCTAATTTACTAAAATCAACATGAATAATGAATAATTAAATCAGGCTAACATGTATTTACTTAATATGTTGGGTAATTAGTATAGAAGATATAATTATTATTAATAAGATTTTGGAAATATAAACTATCAATGAAAATGCTTTAAGAAGAAATAAAGAAATAAAAAAAATCTCTTTTCAAGAATTTGATGCTATTGAAGAAAAGATAAATAATTTAAAAATTATAGAGATTTGAAGAAATAAAAAAGATTATACAGTATATCAAAGACTCAAAGATTTTGATATTTCAAATTAAAAATATAGAAATTAAAGTAAAAGAAATTCTCAAGATACTAAAAGCAATTACTAAAAAATTTATAATAAAAGTTTAAGATATATAATAGAATAACTCCACGACTAAAAAGTGATATAAATAAGAAATTCTATAAGATCCCACTTCAATTTAAGGATCTATAAGACACCATAATATTAGTTTGTAGTAGACAAAATATTATAGATCGAAATAAATAATTTAAAATAATTTGAGAGATCTTGGCAGAAAAACTTAAATAAAAAAAATAACACTTTTCATGTTAAAAACCCAAAAGAAAAATTGAAAGAGTTGAAATAGAGATTCTTAGAAGAGGATTTAGAAGAATTAAATAATCTATGTAAACAAATTAAAATAACTACTAGATAATTAGAAAATATGAAGATGAATACTCAAGGAAAAAGAAAGGAGGAAATTGAAGAAGAAGTGAAGAAGAAAAAGATTAAAGACAACCCAATATAACTCCAATAGAATTATCGGTACAACTTGGAGTAGAATCTAGTACTAATCAAAATTTCCAAAGAAATAGAAATCAAATACATGAAGTGTTGCATGATAGAAACAATAAAAAGTTTGAAAATCAATTTAGACTTAAAACGACAATTAGAGTAAAAAAAATGATTAATACCAATGATATTTGGTTAGATCTACATTGTGTTATCGATTCAGGAAAAATCATTAGTAATTGGGTTTAAGCCACTTAGATTGTAATAGCAAACAAAAGCTAAACTACTTTACAAGTAGTTAGATTCATTGAAGTTACCTTTAGAGGAATAGTTCATGATTTGTTTGTTGCTTTAAATGATGAAGAAGCAATGCCATCACAAGGGGAAACCCAACTTTGGATAAAGTAAATGAAAATGAAGCAATTCATAATATAATAACTAAATTCGAATAAGCAATAAGAAAAGAATTCCAAGGAGAGATGTGGGAAGAAAATCAAAAGAAGAAGCTAGATTTGGAAGAAGAATGGTAAAGAATTTGTGTAATATAGAATTATGCTATTTTTGTGAACTAGATCAATACATTTGTTTGTTTTAGAAATATTATTATAAAGCAACAAATCATGAAATAACTAAAAATCTAATGAAATTATTGTCATGCCCCAGAACCCAAATCCGGAGACGTAGCAGACGCCGTGCACTCGTGAAAGGGTCCCACAAATGTACAAGGCTCAAAACTTATCCAATTCACATCTAATACCACCAAAATCTGAAGATCAAATTTTATAATTTGCTCTAATATCATAAACCTCCAATAAAGTCGAGTTTACAAGATCATGATTTATTCTAAAATCTATTTCAATCTCGAAATGGCTAGTTTTCTAACTCGTCACTTCCCGTGATTTCCCCGTCTTCGGTTTCGTTTCCTGGAATGGTGGACAAGGAAAAACTATGAGATAAACTCAGTAAGTAAAATATCGAGTGCCCATATTAAACTTATAGCATGCCAACATCTGCAATTACGAAAAATGGATACGGTACAAAAATGAAATAGACGTCTCCTCTATAGGTCATGGTCAGTGTTATAAACCTCTCACTGGCAGGCACACGATTTACTGGTGTATAACCCCCACTAGTAGGGTTGAACGAACCGATTCTATCACTAACATGTCGACATGTGCTAGCGTTTAATCCCCACTAGCAGGGTCACTAATAACATGACCACATCGGAGACAAAACAGGCAGAAGTTAACAGAAAAATCAAAATTCACCAATCACTTTCAAATCATCAGGACAATCAATTAATTTCAAGCATGGTTGTTAAAATCGCGATCTAAATCCTAAGATCGCACGATTTTACGATGTTAAAGGGCTTCAACGATCTGAATCGGACAAAAATCGCGGGTCTCGAAGAATCGATCGAAGATCGCGCACATAATCGTGAGATCGTGCGATCTTGAACGATTTTAGAAACTAAATTCTTATGAGATTATGGATGATAATTAAGAATTTTAAAATTAGTTGTTCATCTTCTCCGGCGACGGCAGAATCTCCATCTCTAGAACTTCATCGTTGCACTGATTTTGCCTTGCCGTCGGTG